GAGCGAGAGACCTGAGGTCAATCCCAGGCAGAGGGCGAAACCTCGGGCAAGTTTCCTTACTCCACACAGAGCCTAATAATAATCCCTCCAAAACCAAAAACAATAATAAATTGGTCATTTTCAATCTACGACTGTTTGTGGGACATTGCTGTGCGCAATTGGCCGCCGCGTTCGCCCACAAATATACAGTCAATTCACTTTACAGTATATTCTGTGAAGCGCTTTGGGACGTCCTCCCGACGTGAAAAGCGCTATATCAAATGCGAGGATTATTATTATTATTATTATTATTATCAGGCGTAAATAATCCTTGATTATCCTTGCGAGAGTGCCAGAGTTTCGGGGAGGGTGCAGTTGCTGAAGACAACTTTATTATCATTGCTTTAATCATAATAATAATAATCCTTGCATTGAACATCGCTCCTTACCACGTCTTGGAGACGATGTCTCAAATCTCTGTCCCACAAACAGTCATGGATTGAGTGACCAAATTATTTCTTTTTTTTGACGGATTATTACCTACGGAAAGTCCATCGACTAACAACCGGGATCCTACTTACTGCTCGGCAAACAGAGGTGGGTGGGCGGGTGGGTGGGTGTGGAGTAAAGAAACTTGCCCAACGTTTTGCAACGGAAAAAAATTATAATTTGGTCACTCACCCCGGTTGTTAGTGGATTGGCACATCGTTTTTCCAGGGGGTAATAATTCCATGAGACGAGGTTTGTGGGGGGATCCCATAGTGTGTGTTGGGGTCACTGCTGGAGTCTGACCGGCTGGAAACTTCCCATTGGCCTTTCCTATCCTTCCCAAAAGGTGGGCATCAGCTTCCAGCCTCCAACCGTGTTGCAGGGAGGTGACTGGCCAAGGTCCAGCGTACTGTCCAACACGACGGCCATTGGAGAGGCCTGGACACACTCGGACCTCACGTTTGACCAGATGTATGTCAAGCGAGCCTTCGTATGTGGGTGAGGGGCTGGAGGAAGGGGACTTCTCAGACGCCCGCTCGTGAGGCAAACTCTGCCGTATATATTTTACACGAGGAAGTTAATAATAATAATAATAATAATAATAATCCTTGCATCTGATACAGCGCTTTTCACGTTGGGAGGACGTCCCAAAGCGCTTCACAGAACACACTGTAAAGTGAATCGACTGTATATTTGTGGGCGAACAAAGTTATTCAGCTACGGAAGTCCTTCCTGCGGGTTGAAGACGGTACAATAATTTAATTTGACAATAACAATCCGGGCGTTTGACCCAGGGATTAGGGTGGAAAGGCTGAACTTTGGGACGCGTAATGCGGGGGTGGGGGCTGTTTAAAGACCAATTGTCTTCAAGACGTCTCAAAGCGCTTCACAGAATATATTGTGAAGTGAATTTGACTGTATATTTTGCTCAACTGAGGCAGAGCGAAGGTAATAATAACAATAATCATTCGAGTAATCGTCACGGGATTATTCTAATGAATTATTTATCAATATCATCATTCATTCGTTCATTCGTTCTTTCATGAAAGTCAGACCAGGTCCATTCAGGACTCAGAAGAGCCATTGGATTGGTTGTCAAAGTGAAATGATCATCAAATCCAAATTTATTTCAAAGTCCTGGCCCTGTCCTTACCCCCCACCCCTTACCCCCTCCGCCCACCTCCCCCCCCCACCTCCGGTTGCCGGGCGACTGAACAAAGATGCTAAGTGACAAAGTGGTCCTTCTGTTGAGTGTTGGATGATGTGAGTTACCGCCTATTGGGTTAAAACAAAACTTGTGTTGATTTTTTCCCAATTTACCTTATTATTATTATTATTATTATTATTATTATTATTATTATTATTATTATTATTATTATTATTAATATTATTATTATTATTATTATTATTATGCCTTCACATGAAGGGGGAACCAATTGGTGTAATCGGCCTAGCAGTGAGAGCCCCAATTGTCACAAGGATTTTTACCCCCAACCCCCAACCCAATACAATCCCACTTCAGTTCCCAACGTAACCTCATCAATACATAACCAATAAATCAATTGACCTGATCAATCCTAATCAATAAATCTATTGACATATACAGAAACCCATCACCGTTGCTTAAGGGAATCCAAACCCAACTTGTTTGTGAGGAAACTTGACGCAGTCGTCATCTCAAGGCTCAACTCCCCCCCCCCAC